TTCTTTAAAATTATGCTTTTAAGTTATAAAGAATTTTTCATATGCCTAGTGCTCATTTTCTATGTACTTATTGGAATAGCCTACTCAGAGCCTTTCCCCCAGTTCAGGGCGATTTATAACTCATCTCTTGAGAACCTCTGAGAAGCAGGACGAGGGGCTCCGTGAGCCCGGAACCTGCAGAGATGGGCGTGTCCACGACTCCCCAGGGAAAGGCTGACGGCTCTCTGATCCTGTGTTTCAGAGAGAAAAAGAAACTCTCTCTGAAGCCACAAGAGAGGCCGAGAAGGGACACAGGACTCAGTCACAAGAACAGCGTCTCCTCCACCCCCCACACCTCTCTGGGTCCACCCGGCCCTGCCCCTGCATCTCGCTCTCGAAACCTCATCTTTCTCAGCATGTTTCACATTTAAAGTCAGCTCCCAAGAACGTCAGCTTGAGGAGACACATTCTTGAAGCCCAGTGAAGGGAAGGAAGCTGCATCCATGAGAACCGCCTGTGCCGCCTTTAGACGATTTTCATGCTTTTCCCTTGCACTAACCCTGTTGGTAAATCCCACGCTCACTTTACAGCTGGCAGAAACCAAAGCCCAGAGAGGCTAAGCAACTCACCTAAAGCCACACAGTAAGAAAACAGCTCAGCTGGGACTTGAACCTAGGTCTCTAGGACTACACAGTGCACGACTACCACACAAAACACGAAGTGTGCCAAAATCGATAATTGATCTCTAAATGTCTACATTCCTTTCTTCCCACGAGCAGGTGAGTTGGGATGTGTCGAGACTTAGTAATCAATAGGAAGGAAAGGGCCGTTTGCCCGGAGCCTGGCAGCTGGCTTGCCAAATGCACGATGCGTCTGGGGCTTTGCCAAGGTGGGGCTGTGCTCGTCTGTGGCCTGCCTTCTGCAGACCTGCCATCCATTGGCCGGTACCTCCCAGCACACCTGCCTGCACATCTTGGCTGCACTGTTTGCTTTCGGTGTGTCCTAGGAGAGCATTTCACCTTTCCGAGCTTGTTTTTACATCTGTAAAATGGGGATAATGACAGTGACCCCACAGAGGGTTTGTGGGGACATCTGGGTTATTGTGGTCCCTCAGATAAACCAAAGGCAGCAAGGCCCCGAAGGCATGCCCTGAAATTGGGTGTCTGCAGACTGATGCTTCAGCTCCTCAAGAGCTTGCCCCCCCCTAGCCGGGAGAAAGTCACCCAACTGCTAAGATTCAAGTCTGTCTCCCACGCTGTCAAGGGGAGGGACTAAGCCAGGCTTCGAGCTAGCGTTTCCCACCACCCACTGCATGCCAGGACTTCAGAGACGAGGCAGAGCCAGGGCCCTCAGGCCTGGTGGGCAAACCCCCTCAGTGGCACGGCACCGCATCTGCATGACCCGCTCCCCATTCCCACCGCCACCGCCACCTCCGTCATGACCATGGCCGTGGCCTTCTGCGTGATCTCCCGCTCCCACCCGTTTCTATTCTCCCCATTCCTCCCGGGGGTGCTGCAGGAAACCCGGCCACCTCTGCGGGGGCAGCTACTCTGCTGCTTCCAGGAGCATCGATTGGGAGGAAAGAGGAAGAAGAGCCTAGGAAACAAGCAGGGGTCCCTTGTCCCTCGGGTGGCCCACAGCAGCCAGAGGACGCTCCCTAAAATAGAAATCTGATTCTTTCCCTCTTCTACTTTGAACCCGTCCAAAAAAAGTCACCAGGCCGCACGTGAACTGGCACCCATCTTCCGAGTCTCTCTCGGTCACTCAGTGAGCCCAGGCGACCTGGCCTCCTCACTCTTCCTTCAATGCCCTCGATGCTGGTCCCTCTGTCCCCCACTCCCCTCACCAACCCACCTCTGGCGGAGCTTCCTCCTCAGATGTCCCCTGACCACCCTCCCATCGTAACGAGGCCCCCTGAAGTCTTAGCCTCTTTTACATTACGGCACCTTACTCTGTCCGTATTAGCCCTCCTCGCAACTGGTGTCTGCACTTCTATTTGTGTGGTGGCCTGTTTGGCATCCTCTCCCCCACTGGACTGGAAGCCCCACAAAGGCAGCAGCCGCGTCCGACTCCTCACGGTGGGTGTGCATCGCCCAGCACAGTGCCCGTCACATAGAAGGTGCCCAACGAGGTGTGCTGGATGAGTGGATGAGCGAAAGAATACCTTCCAGAATGACAAGCAGAACCCTGGCTGAAACCATGAGCGGTCAGGGAACGTGTCCAGGGGAACTGTCTGCGCTGACAGTTAAGCATCTGGAAGATCCACCTGGCTTTTTGAGTGGGATTCACTTTTAACACATCTGTTCTAATGTCAGAACAGACGTGTTAAAATATAAAGGTTATAATGCAAAGACGGTAAAACCCAAACACTGGCAGAGAAAACGGCTAACACGATTTCCCACTGAGAGGAGAGACGACAGAGGCCCGACTGAGGAGAGAATTCACGCCGGTCCCGCCGTGAGGCGACAGCTGGGCTCAACCTCGAGCCGCAGTCCATGGACACTCAGGCCAGCAGGCTCGCTGTTCCGGCCCAGGCGGAATCATCTAGAACAACACCACCTGGGTTCTCTGTTATCTAGACGTAGCCAAGATGCTCACCAGCTATATTGCTTTGGGAAGTGACTTTTCCACTCAGCGCCTGAGTTTCATCATCTTTAAAAACCAGATTAAATAACTTCTTTATTGAGTCTTATTAACTATTGTGTGTAGTGTGTGCTTGCATGTGCGTGTGTGCGTGTGTGCGTGCATGTGTGTGTAGTGTGCGTGTAGTGTGTGCGTGCGCGTGTGTACATGTGGCTGAGAACAGCGTCTAGCATTTAGAGAGCACTTGAAAATGGTCATTTTACTATTTTCTTACGTTTGGTTTTGTGCCAGGCACTGTACCTATGAGCCACCGTCCGTGGTCTGACCATTGTGAGGTGTGATTGGTGGCCCACTCCACAGAGGAGGACACTGAGGCCCGCCCGTAGGAAGCCTTTATCACGAACGTCGGAGGGAGTCTGCGGTGTGGGGCCTGCACCTTTCAGGACGCACCGGGCTCCCTTTCCAGTCCCCAGGGTGTTTGCCTTTCAGGCTCCGGAATGGCTTTTGGTCCACCTGGACTGGGTGCTCAGGAGCTGTCAGGCCTGTCCCCTCTCTCTAGCAGGGAAGGAAGCCCTTAAAGGCAGGAGGGACGGGCGGGCAGGGGAAGAAGGGGAGACGGAGGCCACTGTGTTTCTGGATGACTTGCAGGTGTGCAGAGGGGTTAGAGGGACAAGTGGCCTCCTCGCCACAGTCCCTTTCCCTTGCGTACCTCTCAGGGACATGCAGCTCTTCAAGGCTGTAGCTGTTGGACGAATGGAGACCGATCCTGAAGCCCCACAAAACCCTGAGAGATGGTCCTCCCTTCTCCCCAACTTCCGCTATGGCTGGCTCAAACGCCAGAGCTTGGACAACTAACCAAATTTCTCTGCTCCTTCATATTTTTCACCGATACGAGTGCAAACTGCAGGATTCCCAGGGGTGATGTGCATCCAGCACAGCAGTCCTCAGCTTGGGCTGCACACAGGAGTCACCTGAAGAGAGTTAATTAATACCAAGCCCGGGTCTCACCCCAGAGAGTCTGATACCATCGTTCCGGGGCGTGGCCTAGATTTGGGGAGTTTCAAAAGCTCCCCAGGTGATCCTAACACGCAGTCCAAATCTGAAAACCTCTGCCACGCACGTAGCAGATGTCCCTTTGCATTCCGTTAGTGTTAATTGCCCGCTCGAATTTTATTTTTAAAGGCACTATCAGTTTCCCAGGATAGCTCAAGGCTTCATTATTTCGGCCACCACCCCCCGTGCACATTCTCATATTGACAACCTCTGCACTTTCAAAACAGATGACTCAGCCCCCGGCCAATCACCTGGGCCCTTTATCTAGCTTTGGCTCCTCTTCTGTTCATTGGATGGAGCCAATTGGTTAAGACACACAATGCCTTCCTAGAGACGCCAATGAGGAAATCAAACAGATGGAATGATCCATTGTTCACGCTTCAGCCAGGGAAACCCACGGTTTGCCTCCAAAGCTCTCTTACAGTGTGCCAAAGCCCCCACTGCGAAACCCCAGCTTCTCTCGGATGGATCTTAAATGATAAGTTGCTCCCACCCGTGTCCATGGGCTAACCGCACCCCCGCCCCCACGCACATCTCTCTGTATAAATGCCCACCTCCATTCTTCATGGACCACTCCCATGTCAGGAGATGTGCCATCAGCCAGTCACTCATTTCCAGCCACGCCTCCCCCAGAGACACTACTCCAAGGCGTGCTATTTCCCCAGCGCTCTCCATGCTTTGCGCATGCGTGCGCTTTGCCTTAAACGCCTTTTCCTCCCGTGGTCTACCTGGAAGGGCTTTACTCACCTTTAAAAGCCAAATTCAAATGTTCTCCCTCGCAGCTGACTTCCCCTGGCCTCTCGGGAACCCCCGCCCCGCCCCCGCCACAGCGAGATTTAGTCATTTCCACCTCTGTGCTTTCGTAACCTTCGCAATGCTCAGGTATGCATTAGATGCTCGTGATGCGTGCATGAGATGCTGTGCCGGACAGGGATTCTGGAATTTGTCTTTTTATAACCAGCTCCTAGCACAGGCACAGGGCTCTGGCAGGTGCAAACTAAATGCTTGTGGGACTGCGTCCAATTCTCTCTCCTCAAATCCTTACCAGTCAATTTTCGAAACCCCTCCCCCAGATAATCAAGGCGATTGTCCCTGTCACGGTTCAGAAGCTTATTAGTATTCATCTGCTATGATGAAACTTTAAAAAGCTTACTTTCCTTGCCCATGTGTGTATATGTGAACCAAAAAGAAAAAAGAAAAAATGAATAAACACTTACCATCAGTCTGAAATAACACACGAGACGTGCTGTCTCTGCAGGGAATAACTGCACTTAACAGGAAAGGGACCGTATTTGACTGATGAGGAAGGGAAAGGGTTTGGGGGCGCTTTATTTCCTGAGGTGGGGGCGGAGGGGCACTGAGGGGGAGGGGGGCGCCTGCTTTACCTTTTCTGGAGCAGGCAGCTGTAAGTGGTTAACCTCCAAGGGGGTGATGAGAGGAACGGTCTGGAAGCCATCCTCCACTGAAGGCGGCTTGGCTCCCTTCTCGCCGGGGTTACTGTTCAGCTTCACCATCCTTACGCCTTTCTTCCCAGACCTGAGGCAAGCAGTGGGAGTCTAGTTACAGGGGGGAGGGGAGGCGGGGAAAGAGCAAACGGCGCTGTCCTCAACGGCTCCACTCCGGTGGCTTTCGATGTAGAGACCGGAGTCATTGCTCTCCCCTCAGATTTCCTGACATGGTTCCCGTCATCCACTCAAACTTCTATAATCATCGAAATGTGCCATCCGCCCCCAGGGCTCAACAGCCCTTAAATTTGGGAAACTCAAGGAAAATCCTAGACTCACACACACAAAAAATACAAGCTTAAAAAAATATATCCAAGACTCTAGAGCTAACACAGGCATGTAATCTCAGTGGAAAGCTTATTCCGACCGCAAAATTAAATCTTATTATTTTGGATTACCCTGCAGTGTGATAAATTTCACCTTACCACTCTGGTTGCTGTTTTATTATACTGGTTTTCCTTCACCAATCTCCCTAAAACACAATAAATACATTCAACGACTCCATGTGCAGTGCACCCTTTTACATAATCTGTAGGTTGTATAGGAGATACAATTTCCTAAGACAAAAAAGGACTGGCTTGAACCCGATCCTGTTATTCAGGCGTGAAATGCCTCCATGTCTTCCATAGCGAAGGGCCAATTTTTTTTTTTTTTCCTTTTGCTTCTATGGAAAGTTAGCAAACCCCGTATTGCAAGATTGCCAACTGAATAAACAAATCACACTTATTCCTCTCTGGTTCCCTTGGAAGTCTAATGGTGCTCCCACCCCACCCCCAGACGCCCAGCACAACTGAATCTCCCCGTGTCAATCCTGCTGATAGAACATTATTAGACAGAATAGGGCTGTCGCGGGGTTGAAAGGGATGGTAGAGGGTTGGAGGATATTGGGGAGTGGTTAAAACGAAAAACCAAAAATCAAAAACAAATGCCTACTTACTGTGCTGCACTCTTGGGGGTCAGAGCAGATTCAAGCCAATTTGAAGACGAGGCGGAGGACGGCCGGGAGTCCTCCCTCCTCAGCCGGAGCTCGTGGTGCTGAAGGGACAGCGCCTCGCGTGCGTCTGGACCCGGAGCTTCTGAGAGCGCGCGCGAGCGAGCGGGGAAGAGCTGCTGGCAGCCGCCTGCCTGCTCGCCGGCTCGCGCCCCCTCCCACCGGGGAACGGGCTCCCACACCATCTGTCATCTGGCACCACCTGCTGTTTCTCATGCATGGCCACAACCACCGCGCGGGATAAAATGGTTTCAAGAAAGTGGGAGGGATTCTGACCACCACCAAATATAATTTTTTAAAAAGTAAGCTGCACCGTAAAACAAGCAATGCTTGAGCCCCTAACATATCTAGAAAGGCACATTGATTGGGAGAAGTCACCACTTCCTAAAATCTTTCAGAACAATATTATAAAATACAGAATGGTTCGGGCCCCGCACCGCGCTCTGACCTGTGGAAGGAAAATAGAGAGAACTAATATTTATTGAGTCTCATCCACACGGCGGGCACTTTTCCAGGCTCTTTCAGACTGTTTCCGTAATTTGCAGTATGTGACTTCTAATAGCACCTTCGCGATGGGGTCGGCGTAAGGTACAAATGTAAAAAGGTGAGAAAAGCATCTCACTCAGAGCGAGCACCACGTAAACATAAATGACTATTCTCTCGACATCGCTGTGATCACACAGTTCAGATAAGGTCACAGAGCTGCTCCAGCCCCAAGAACTGGGATTTGAGCCCTGATCCACTGCCACACGGTTGAAGTGGACAAAATGATTTCTTGGAAGGAAGGAAGGAAGCGTTTCCAAAAAGTGGATATCTGTATGCCACAAAACTGCACTGAACAGTTTGAAGTTTGTCAGCTTTACTCTTAACTTGACAACGCGCCCTTAAGTCAGTGTTGGGTGAAATAAAGACATACCTATTCTTCTGCGCATCGTCTAATAATCCTAGGTGGCTTTCATCATAAATTGCTTATAAAGAATATTTTTAAATCACCCATGTGTTTAGTAATAATATTACATGCATTGTTTTCACTTAGAAAATGTTGCTATTTACTGTTTCTATGAGTTTGTAACCATTTTCTTTAATAATTGTGAGTATAGTGTGGGAATGGAGAACACAGCCTTTCGAGCCAGGCCGTCTGGGGTCAAATATCAGCTCTGCCACTTGCTAGATTTATGATCTTGGGTAAGTTAACTTCTCTGTGCCTCAATTTCCTCATTGTCATTGAGGGTACTACTAATACTGCATAGGATTGTTATAAAAATTAGATGAGTTAATACATGTACAGTGCTTAGCACAATATCTACAAGTACAAAATAAATATCTACTCTTATTCAATTATTAGATAAGCAATTTTATTTATTTTTTTTAGATAAGCAATTTTATTTTAGACAAGCAATTTTAAAAATAGCTCTTAATCAGGTTTTTATTTTTTAAGTTTTCTAATTTATTAATTTATACCCTTTAAAACACTATTTTCTTCTTTCTCATTTCCTTAAGTTTATTTTTCTCTTTTGAACACCCAGGACAAATATCTAGTTTATTGATTTGCCTTCTCCCTGTTTGATAATAAAAGAAATTAATGCTATTGCTTCAATGTACCTCTGAAATAATGCTGCTTTTTTATTATCATTCCTCAATATTTTATAACTGAAGATTTGCTTCTCTGATTCAAGAGTCATTTGGTAAAATAGTATTGTTTTTGATTTCTAAACGCTTCGTTTTCATTGTTGCTAATTTATATCTTTTGAAACTAGTTCTAATTTCTGTATATTTTGTGTTTTCTGTATATGTTCTGCTTTGGGGAATGTATTAAATTTTCTTCGTGACCTAAGATATGAATTATTTCTGTTAAAATTCTCTGAGCATAAAGAAAGAAGTCACATTCTATAGAGATTTTTATACATTAATTGTTAAATCAAGTTTGTTCCTTGAGTTATTTAAATCTTCTATACCCTCAATGATTTTTCACTTTCTTGACCTGCCAAGAAATTAGAGAAGGGTGTTGCTATTTTCCATTATTGTTGTGATATTTCTATTTGCATTAAAGCTATGTTGTTTGGCACATAGTTTCATGATGTCACATCTTGTGACTTTTGCTTTTATGGTATAACATGATTAGTTCATTTAGTATTTTGTGATTAGAATTCCTCTCCACCTAAAATATAGTTGCAAACCCTTCCTTCTGTGGTTTCCAGTGCCTCTTCCCAGCCTTGTATAACTGGACTTTATTTCTTGACTAGGTCATTTTAAGTAATCTGTTTAATATGGGAATTTAACTCCTTATAATTAACTCTTACAATGACATGTATTGTCTCATACTTGTCATAATTTTTATGGTTTCTTATTATTTCCTTCATTGTGTTCTACATACACTTTAGTTATTTGGAAGGGACACATATGTTTTAAAATTATGTCTTTGGTTATTTTTAATGATATCAAAAACATATTTGAATCAACATTCATCTTTCAGCCTCAAGAATAAAACAAATTCTTTTGATCTTCCACGTAAAATGAGATAATTAGCTCACGTTTACTTCTCCACCTTTTCCTGCTTCCCATTTATCAAATGTTAAACTTTAGTCTTTATTTTCACTGATGCACATTTTCCCATTTTATTTCCATTTCCTGAGATGCTTTCGTCAGACCTAGAAGTGGGAGAAAAGTGAATATAATACCTTTTTCCAAAGGGCTCAAATGATGCTTTATCTGAAAATAATTACTTTACATACGTAAGTTCCAAAGAATCTGTGATGCTTCTGTGATTGGTTTGATTGTATCTTAGTATTAAGTGTTTTGTTTTGTTTCCATGTATAGATATATCTCCAATGAAAGAGATAATAAAAGCACTTTAAATGTCTCATTATAAATCTTGTTGTCATTTTAAGAATCTTATTCAAAATTTAATGGTGTGATAGGAATATAAGCTTTTTAGAAATCTGTTCTAAGAATCTCCCAGAGGCAAGCATAAAAGGAAGCTATGCTCATACTATTGCTACGAGCTCTATATTTAAATTTCAAATAACAGCAGTCAGAAAGCTATGAAAAGCGAGAGACTCTTTCCATTTTAAAAGGAAATGGGTCATCGCCTACTTTTGATTTAAAAGAAAGGACAATAGAGAGCCAGAAAGGCAAATGGCAGAAGGGCCAGTCCAAAGTTCTCTTCTGATTGGCTACAAACAGTCGAAGAAGGAGACTTTCTAACTAAAGGAGTCAAGCCCTGGGGGTGAAAACTGACATCAGCTTAAGACCAGCAGCATGACTTACAAAGAACCTTCCAATTAAAGTTCAGGGATCACTTAGAAATAAGTTGATAAGAATAAAGGCTCTTTGAGAAAGTTTTTGAATTTTGCCTAGAAAAAGGCACTCCAAGCACCCTTTTCCTGTTAAATGACCCATTCCTCTGTCTCTTCTGACTAAAGTTTATCTAGTCTATGTTGTAAAATAAGTCACAATTGAGTGCAAAGTGTGGGTTGCAGAACAGTTTCCCCAAAAAAGCCAACTCCGAGGACTTTGAATGCAGGACGTTGTTATTATGTATATATCTCTGGATGGAGGGGGGAGAAGGAAAGGGAGCACACTTGATCAGAGGGAGAACTGAATGGAGAGATATTCTCAACAAAGCCCTCAGCCAATCCCACTAGTACCTGTGAAGCTGGGATGGCCCTTCATTGTTGTCCTGTGTTGAGATGCAGATGGGAGACCTTCTCCAACTGGGCAAGACCGTGGGCAAGGTGTTACTCTTCAGCCGAGGGCAGCTTTGGAGAGGGAGAGGGCTAATAGCTAAAGCTGTCAGCTAACTGCTGAGGGACAAAGACTTTCAGTCCTGACAAGGGACCTATCTGGGCAGCACAGCCTCCACTACGGGCTCTGTCCTAGGCTGTCCTCACACTTGACAATCACGCCCTGTGACTTCAAATACCATTTGTATGCCTGTAACAACTCCTAAATTTTATTTCCGACAAAGACTTCTGGACTCAGACCCATATATAAGACCATTCTCCTGACATCTTCACTTGGATGGTTCATAGGCACTTGCATCTCAACATGCCCAAAACCGAACTCCTGGTCTCTGCCCTCCCAGCTGCTCCTCCTCCACCGGAGAGCTATCTCATCAGTGAATTGCCCCGTCATCCGGCCTTTGCTCCAGCCAGAAAACTCAGAGGAGTTCTTGACAGCGCCTTCCTCACTCCTACATGCAATCACCAAGGGCTGCTAATCCTCCCAAATCTCTCAAATCGGTCCAGCCCTCCCTATCGCGATGACTCATCCTTAGCCTCCTCTATCTCCCTACCTGACAAGTCTCCTGACAACGGTGCTCTCCCCCCCACCTACTCCTCCGCTATAGTCCAAGCCATCGCTGTACAATGAAATTCTGGTCGTGTCGTTTCCTTACCGAGAACTCTTCAGGGGCTTTTTTTTTTTTTTTTAAGATAAAGACCAAAATCTTAAACTTATCCTATACAGTTCTTCATTTGTCCCCTGCCCACCCTACAAGCCCCCCTCCTGCCACCTTCCCCTTACGAGGACACTCCAGCTCCCCTGACCTCCAGACATGCGTCCCCTGAGGTGTTTCCTTTGCAGCCGCCTCTTCGGGGGTCCTCTTTCTACCCCTTTAACCAATTTATGATTCTTCAGAACCATTTAAACGGTACTTTCTCAGGGATGTCCCCTCTGAGACCGCAGACTATATTCAAGTCCTCTTGCATGTGCTCCCTTAGTACTCTGTTCTTCTATGTTGAAATACCTATTGTTCTTAAAAACTACATGATTATTTGCATAATTGTGGCTGAATGAGAAAAAGAATTGAGTTCTTACAACCCAAATATCAGCAACCAGGGGGCGGATGGGTAAATTTTGGTTCATCCCATCTGAGGAAATATTATTAGGTCATGAAAAATGTCATAGAATACTGAATTAACATGGGGAATGTTTCTAATGTTAAGTGGAAAGAGCAATCGAATTGTACAGACGTTTTCTCGACTACGTAAAAATGTGAAGACTTAACGGTATTAAAATGTGTACAGGTTATTTCCTGGATGATTTTATGGGTGAGTTTCACCTTT